ACCGCCACTAAAAAATTAATACTATGAAACTATTATTTAATATACCGACGTGTTAAATATGTATTTCTGCGATATATCTAAAATGAATATTGTTTACATATCAGATTAATTAAACTATAATCAGCTAATATTCTTCAAATAAAGTTTCAGAAAAGTATCTTTTATTTTTTAAATATTTTTTTAATAAAGAGAATTACATTGTGCTGACAGATAGTTAACAATGGCATTAAAATCAGCGATTTTAACGATTTAAAAACCGCCTTCCATTTAATTTAAATTCGTTTTAGTCAAATGAAAATATTTTGCTTATTAGAAATATTACATTTAATCTATTAGCTTGAAATTAAAGCTAAAATGAAACTTCAAGGAAGCTTTTTCATTATTAAAAATTCATTTTAAACAGTAAATCTATGGAGGTATCTTTATTAAAAGTACCGGAAACTTAATTCCCACCTTTTGCTTTGTTTTTAATTTCTATAAAAAGACAAACATTTTCTCTCTCTTTTCTTTCTCTTACTTCAAGATGTAGAATTACGCAGTTCAGGACATCCCCGCTGGGAACGTCTCCTTTCATGTCTTGACTGACGGATGAAGTAAGTACAGCCATTACTTTGATCGTTCCAACTCGGCGCAAGGCTGGCTTGAGTTAAAATAATATAAGCATCCTAATAGATTACCCTAACTTTCTTCTGGACCAGAAAAAGGGATTTTTCCAACTTTCCAACGCATAGACTTCGGACACGTTTTTTCAGAACTTCCAACGATGAAATAAGTACAATCTTTACATTGGTCTTTAAAGCTAACTTTAGCAGGAGCATTATAATAATGCTTATCCTTACTTACCCTGGAGGTTTCTGGACTAGAAAAAAATAGATGGACATATTCATGAGACATTGAAAAGGTTGTTTCTCTACAGTTTCCTCTATACAAAGAATAAACGATCCGTAGTATGAACTCAAGTTTTGTTGCTTCTAAATCACTTGTTTATTGGTGAACAGGCACACACCTACAATAAACCAACACACAACTTAAAATTCGATATTTTCGTTCACTTGTCACTCATTTATTCATCAAAGACCCAATATAAAAAAAAAAAATGTAAACAGCAAATGTAAAAATCTCTTTAAAAACATTTTCCTAATGATGTCAATCGACATCTCCAGTTGCCTTGATCTATCCACTACCCTTCTCCTCATCCTTACTTCTATCACTCCTATCTGATCTTGCTCCAAATTTTCTGTAACCCCTTGAGTCCTAGTGGCTTCCCGCCTTGCTTGGGGTGAAACGTTTAAAAAAAATGATGTGTTTGAAAGGAAATTAATAAATTTAAGTCTTACTTAACTCGAATTTGTAAAAGTAATGCTTATTTTTGCTTATAACAGTCGGTAGCGTATAAGCTGTTACTATTGTTATAGTTCAACAACAATAATTTTGTTAACTTCCCTGCCGTTTGGTAATTTCTTTTAAAACGAGGTGTCATAAATGTTTTATAGCATTAGTAGCAAAAAGAAATAAAACATAAAGAAAATTTAACAATCAATTCAGTAACGTCTTTATAATTTTTTTCGCTCATTTTTCTTTAATAAATGTTCAGATGAAATTAATTAAAATACCTCATTGTTGCAATGAAATATTTGCTATAACTAGTTAATAAAATTGTCCAAAAATAATTTTAGTGAGAAAAAGTATCATTTAACTATTTTTAATCTTTTTCTTTTCTTTTTTTTTATATATATATTTCTTTTGAGATATACTAGATATATATGAGATATACAAAATTGTATAAGATATACAACATTTTTATTCACTTTTCTATTAATTTATATATTCGAAAACGTTTTTGCCACATTTAAGAAAACAAATTCCTTAAATGAGTTATATTTGCTCTTCTCTTTTTATTTATGTCGTGAATTATTTTAAAAGAGAAAACAGACTTATAAAAAAATAATTATTTGGCCTTTGAAGGTGTGAACAATTGCTGCCAAAATAAATAGGAAAAATGAGTTTTCGATATATTTTAAGCAATGAGTAATATTTTTAGAAAATGTGGTAAATTATTCCATAAATTTATTACTTTTCTTCGAAACAAATATATGGATAAGATATGTACCTGAAGTAATACACAAAATCTAATAAAAACAATGTTTGGCGTCAAAATCTTTGTTATTATTACGAGGAAAGACCAAAGGATTCTTTATTATTAAATTATATTTTAAATCTTTTTAGGGCCTTCAAAATTTTCGTTAAAAATTTTGAGTATGGGACGTTTGTGCGGTTTTTGCAGTGAAATATACATTGATTTGGAAATTCCTGCAAAAATCAAATAATAGCCAGGTTTAAAAGAATCTTTAAGAAATTATTCACAAATGAATTAAATTATTTAAAAAAAAATTGTTTTGAGAAAATCTAGATAAAATTATGTCTTTTACATCTGTTACTCCCCGCTTGTTTAATTTTACGAAATTTCGATAAATTTATTTTCGTAGCACTTAATGTTTATATCTTATACTGGCAGGCATCCCCCGCTCGCTATCTCTTCGCAAAGTAAGATATATTCACTACTTGAAATATTTGAAACAAAAATTTTAAATGAACATTTCATTCAGAAACTGGCTTAAGGAAAGTTTTACAAATAGATGCCAACTTGTTAAACGCAAGGTAAAATGCAAATTTAGAGCACTTTTCTGCATTATATAAGACAATATTCCTAAATAGAATTTTTTTTTATATGAAAAGCAAAACAATCCTTGAATAAAAGAACATGAAGGACAGTTAATTAATGGATTATACATTTTTAAAATCAATATGCAAATTAGTTAAACCAGGAGAGTGATATCACCTAGAAGT